TCTTTGGTCTTCATCCTGCGAGCCTTGTCCTGGTAGTCCAAACGGCCAAAGAAGAAACCGTCATAGCCCATCTGTTTTATAAAAAAAAAAAAAAAAAAAGGGAAGAGCCATCAGCACCACTATACCACACCGTTCATAGTCTCATATAATGTGCTATGATTACCTGAGCAAAGATGGAGGCGTGTTCTCTGGCGTGTCCGAACGGGTCGATGTGCCAGGCCACCCGGGGACGCCCGCACTCGCCGAAGGTGTCATTCAGGAAACGCAGCCCCAAAGTCATCTGATCTATGACAGCGCTATAGTGTGTGGTGGCCTCATCACTCATGCACCAGCCGCCGTTTATGAACTCAAGACGACCTATGAAATAAGAAAGAAATGTATATAATTCATGACATTTGTGAAAAATATTTACAATATTATAAAATATTTTAAAAACAATGATTTTATAAAAATGTGTTTTATTAATCTTTTCTTTATTATTTTTTATAATTTTTATCATCTCAGACATGCTTAAATATGGAAAATAATTATAAAGATTCAGGAAGTAAGGAAAGTATTTTAGTACTTTATACATCATCTTACATTTTTAGCATCTTTATATGCAATGTTTTTGTAAAAATGTGTTTTATTAATCTTTTCTTAATTATTTCTATATTTTTTATAATCTCAGACATCCTTAAATATGGAAAATAATTATAAAGATTCAGGGTGTAAGTGTATTAGTACTTTTAATTCTATTAACTTTTAGCACAATCAAAAAAAGAATTCTTTGTATATTTTTTATCAGACATTGTTTTTCCAAAAATTATGGAAAATAACTATAAAGATATGGTGAAAAAAAAGTACTTTATTACTTTTTAGTACTTTTTACATCACTTCAGATTTGTTGTGTCATTACATTCTTTTATATATATAACTTTTTATCCTCAGGAATATCCACAGTCACTGACCCCAAAACAAATACCCTCCTCACCCTCATTGACAAGCTGATTTACAATTCGGCGTGTGTTCTGGCTCTGTTGCCTCCACCAGCGGTAAAAGAAGGCCGTCTCTACATAGATGAAACGTCGGGCTGGATCCTTCTGTAGCTGGTCTATCACAGAGTCCAGAATATACTGAACACCTGCATGCTGGATGTTGTTTCGGTCTAAAAATTACAATGATTGGAATAAAAACAGAGGTTTGTGGTTTATTTGCATGCCTGAATAAGCCTGGCACCAACCAAATTTTATTGTGTATTATGGTGTGAGGTTAAACATTACCACTCCAATGCGTTGCCATATCATATGACAAGCAGCACACAAGTCATGTCCAGAATATGGACACTCACATGAAGAATGTGATCTATTACCATATCAATGCATGTTACCGAACAACAAAACACTTGACATGAACAGAACTTCACCTCCATAATAGTACTGATCCACAGTCTTGAGCCAACCAACATCATCATGTGTGTGAGGAACCAGGTGGACGTTAAGCATGGAAGGCTTTGTGGCTGGACATGACTGAAAAGATCCAAGAAGGTCATCAACAGTGGAAAGATACAACAACAGTTCACATAAAAGATTCACTTCCTCATTCTACAATCGTTTCCTTTATACACTTTAGTGGAAAATAAAGCTTATATATTCATAATTGATCTGCCGAAATTGCAAAAACCGAGTCAACTTATATTTTAAAATAGACACACACAAAAAAAACAAAAAAAATTTTTTGTTGGTAAAAAATAAATTGATTGGTTAGTGCACGACATCAGTCCCTTACAAAAACGTATTGTGGTGGTACCATGCATGGTACATGTTCCAAAACATGGTTATTTTCAAGGTACATAAGTCATGACCCAAACACCGTGCATCATCGTGACTTCATGTCCCAAAAAAACCTAAAACTAAAACTAAAAAACCGAATGTCCAAAATAATTACAAACAAGGTTACTTTTTGTTGTTTGTATATTTCCCTCAGTGGCAACTTAAGTTTTTACATTTAACTTAAGTGTTACTAGAATCTTTCTTAAGGACCCTACAAGGAAAAACTTCAGATAATTCACCCAGTAAGCCAAAACTCACCTTATAACCGCAGATGGAGTTTCGACCCGTGGGTAGAGAAAACACAAGACAGAAAAACAGCTGGAGCAGAAAACTGATGTGCAGCGCAGCCATGTTGAAAATGAAACTACTATCATATGACCATAGGCATATGACAGCCGAACTTGTATTATGTCACGTGATTTCTGCTTCCATAGCTTACAAATAAACAAAATAAAAGTCATTAAATAAAAGTCTTTGGTCAGATCATCTACAAAAATACAGTACTACCGAAATTAAAGGAATTAAAATATAATATAATATAATATAATTGATATAATATAATAAAATATAATAAAATATAATATATGAATTATTATGAAATAGAGTATACTATGACAATCCAACATAAAAAAAAATATATATATATATATATATATATATAGTTTTACATATGCATTGCATTGTTTTATTATTGTTGCATTGTTGTATAATGTAATACAGTAGGCTACCTTATGCCTCTGAAACTATGCCTGCCTACCCTCATATCAATATCAAATTTATTTCTAGAACACAGTTCCAGTAGTGGGATTGAATGTGAGATTAAATATGTGCACTCAATAACGTCCACAATGGTTTCGGACACCCAAATGGCTGTTCCCTCAAATAGTGCCCTATTTAAAATTGTTTGGCTTTTAGTATGAATATGTTAGCCTTACTGTTATCTATAAGCTAGTGTTCTCCAAAACATTGACAAAATTCGCATTTAGAAGACCAAACCCAACGTTGAAAATTAATATCAGGTTGATGTCAGAATCCAACGTCAGATTGGCGTTAATCTCCAACGTTTGACAGACGTTGTATTGTGGTTGGAAATGAAAATGCAGGTTGACGTCAGAAACCAACATCAGTCGGGTTCTGACGTCAACCCGACTTTCATTTCCAACCAAAACGCAACCCCTGCAACCAAAATCACCCCCTGACTGACATACCTTGACAGAAATGTAATGGAGTAAAAAGTATGATATTTGTCTTTAACATGAAGTGAAGTTAAAGTAAAAAGTTTCCAGAAAAAATAATACTCAAGTAAAGTACAGATACTCAAAAAGTAGTACAGTAAGTAAATGTACTTTGTAACTGTCCACCTCTTAAGGGAGGAAGCTTTTACAGCAGTGGTTTACTGCCTCGTCTGTGTCTGAGAGCATGATGTTGACCTCACTTTTATCTACTTAACTCTCCCTGAATCCTTATTTCCTTCCCCCTCCTTTCAAGAGTCACATACCCCTATCTATCTACTGCCTGACTCCCATTACAAATAGCTAACATTCCCCTGACCTGAAGAACTATGGTTATAATCTTACAAAATTCAGTCAGTCAACAGCAGGTAGAGAGGTTTTTAAAAACATTACAATCTATATCAGTTGGTTTAATTAATTCAAATGAGAAGCTGATTATTGAAGGGTTTATCATTATATAAGTTGAAAAAAATGTCTGACATTTTAAGCATTACGTCATAAGTGCCTCTAGTTACACCATAAGAAGTCATTCATCACCATCTTAAATGTCAGACTATGCACAATCAAAGCATTTACCAATCAAAATATTCAATTTCATATCCCCCACAGAATGACTCCATAGCTCTGTGGTTATCCTTCCATAATTGTTCATGAAACTTTGACTTTATTGTTGGAAAACCCAAGAAAATAGTACAAGGCAGTTCAGCATGAGTCCAAGAAAAAAGATCTGCAGGGAGCCTCTGTGACTAAAGTCTTTGTTCACACTTTAGTCTCCTCATGAAAAGACAAGTAAAGGATGAGCCACATCGAAAGGAATCCGAGATCATGTTGCTGCATATATTTTCACTCAGTCTCAAATGGGGCTGTCTTGTCTCTGTGAGGTATCTCTGTTCTTTGTACAACGATGTAGAATTAGTACAATTAATCTTTAAGTCTAGACAAGCAGTGACATTAACCAGCCCTATTATACTGTGTTTATGTCTGGTCTGTTATTATGTTTCCTTTTATCCTGAAGAAGGTAATGCTATTTTTTTGACATGTTGGTAATTTCCTTTGGTAGTGCTTTATTTTACAGCCCTGTTCCCTTTGTAGCTAGCAACATACTATGTACTTATTATAGTAATTACAATAACTGGGTAATAGGTAGTAACGCTCCTACACCTAAACCTAACCTTAACCCATGAGGTTACCTAGTTATTATTAGACTATTAAAGGTAAGTACACTGTAAGTGCACGTACTGTAAAATAAAGTGCAACATAATTAAATAGTAATTCATAATAACATACTGACTGCTATATTATGAACTTTAAAGGCTGTTAAAGTAAACTTCATGCAAAAATAAAGTGTCAGGACTATCAGAGTTGTGAGATAAGACTAATCCTCACAGTCAATTGCTATACAGTAGCTTGTTCCAACACACTGCACCAAACACCTGGTTTGAATCAGAGGAGGGCCACAGCCAGAATGTGCAATGTTTTCCCCTGTTGCTGCTCTGTAAACATTTAGATAATAGTATGAGACTACCACCGTCTAAACCACTTACAGCCTCCTGCATCTGCACACCTATTTATCTGTTTATTTAGTTGATAGGAAGTATCCTTTAGATGAATAAAATGGTGCATGTTTTGTAACATAAAGGAATATGTGATTTGTATGCTGCATTTAATCTGACAAAAGGACTGCATGAAAAAAAAAAAAGAAAGTGAAAGGGAACAGCTGAGGAAAAATAAATGACATCATTGTCGAGAAGCAAGGCCTCAGAGAGGCTCGACTGTGTGTTTCTGACTCTTATCTTCCCACAACTTCTTATTTTGGGAGGAAGCTTTTACAGCTTGGGTTTACAGCCCTCTCTCCCTCCAAATGGGGCCGTGACTGAGTGTGATGACCTCACCCTGTTTCTACTAAACTCTCCCTACTCTTCTCCTCCCTCAACCCCCCCTCTCGCTTTCTCATAGTCTGTGCAGAAGTGAGGCTTTGCAAGAGTCACGTTCTCCACAGTTCCTGCAGTCTGCATCTCAAAAGTCTCTCTACAGTGTCTCAGAACAATTCAGACTGGACCATTTTAGCTTAAAAGACTGTTAACTGACTTGGTTGACTTCAGGCTTGTAATTTTATCAGATGTTGCAGAAGAAGGATTCTTTTAAACAATGAGAATGATGTTTTATTGTTTTATGGTTATTTGCTCCTCATTCTGATGATTAGAGCAAGAAGAGCAATGAAGAGGATCCAACCTTTTACTATCGGGACTAAGTTGTCTGTCCCCTCCGAGACAAAATGTTTGGATTGTGTGGGAATCATCCTTCCTGTACCGGGTCTGGACTGCTGTGAACTGAGTAACGACTCAAACGATGACAATTCTTTCTTCCATCAGGAGAGAGTGTCCACATCCACACCAGCGGAGGGACTTTCAGATGATATTAAAGAGGAAGATGAGAGGGATTCTGTGTCCCCATCAACCTCCTCCAGATCTATCAAGAAGATTGCTATGTGTGCAAACGCTGAAAGCCCGATCAACTGCCATGTCGCTGACTTTAACGTGACAAACTATGAGACGAACAAGCCAAGTACTTCTACTGGAAAGCTGTTTCTAGTTGAGGAAAGACTGAGTGACAAGTCTGGTGCACAGCTAGAGGTGAGCAAGAATGCATTGTTGGACATTATGTTTCTTAGCTGGAAATTATTTACACATATAGCCTACATACAGTATTTAAAATTCATATATATATATATATATATATATATATATACTATTATTATTATTATTAGAGTGTATATATATCTAAATATCATAATTTGTTTACATTTTTATGCAATATTTTAATTTAGAATAATTGTCTAATAATACATATTACATCTATTATCTATATATTTTTGTAAATTTTAAACAATATTTTAATTTATAATAATACATATTATAATAGGTCCGATATATCCCACTTTAATATTTTCCCCTCACTGAATGCACTTTTACAAACACAAACAAAAATAAAACAAAGAAAACAAACGTCTGCAGGATCATAAAAACCACAACAGCATTTGCATTCTTTTTAAATTATTTTTTTTTTTAACTGGCATCACAACATATTTTTCAAAGGCGTCACAGCTCCATATTTGTTTTTCTCATTTTCAGTCTCTCGCTGTTTTTTATGAGCTGTTTGTTAAATTGTTACAGTTACCGCCTGCCCGTGCACTCACTCCACAGTTTCCCACTGCAAAACTAGAAATAGCATGCACAAATGAATACAACAAGAACACATTGTCTTATTGTGAGAGGAAGAAAAAAGAAGAAAAAAAAACTGTGGATTATTACAGTTTTGCACACTGTGCTCATTGAGATGAGGTCATAGCCAGGCCCCTCATTACACAAGCCCACAGCCGAGATGAACTGGTAATTTCCACAAAAAAAATGGGAAGTAGTTCGAAACTGGAACGCAGAGGGAAGGATCTGCAGATTAAACTGATCTGGCACAACTACACTTATGATGCCAAATAATATTTAAACTATTGGTCGTGATGCACTTTGTGGCTAAATAAATGGCACATGATGTTACAGTATTCCACAACTTAAACTCGATTCCTGTTTATATGTAAGTGGTAAAGCCGTAATATAAATGTTAGAGGGCAAAAGGTGTGGTTTGCCCGCTGTTACAAAATTTTAACACCATGTGCTGAGGATGCAGTCATCGCAGTGGTGCAGAAGACAAGTTAAGAAATGCAAGATTTGCAACATAAAGCACCACCGCTAATGGATGAGATCATTATTTGGAAGTACCACACCTTGCTGCGGGCTCATGTATTGTTGGTGGGCCAACAGACTCTGATCCTGCTATTAATGTGATTTAAATCTCAAATACATCATAAAAATCCCCCGGTTGTCCTAAACACAGGTGCATAAATATGAGGTGTTTGCTGTGGAGATATTTGATACCTCTGAAGAAAATGTCTTGGCATATCATCTAGTAAGCAATCTTTTCGAATCAACTTGGCCTTTTTATCTGTACTTCATGTACCCAAACAAACAACATGGTTTTATTGCCTAACAGCTGAGAAATTGCAGAAGAAACCAGAACTTGGTGTGCAAGACGAATTAGTTGGAGCAACAATAGAATGATGTAAGATATTTTGGGAGATTTACGAAATGAGAAATAGTCTGTCGGTCAATAGCGTGAGGTGGTGAAGAGCACACACTGAAAAATAATTGGTCTATAAACAACTTTCACTCAGAAATTGCTATTTCACAAAAAATTACAAAGATATATATATACTACTGCAAATGAAACCCATAACTGGTTGGACAATATTACTATAAAATACTTCAAAAATAACTAATAAAAATATTGAAAATTATAATTAGGAAAATAAAAAGTTTCAGATGTTTCTTTAAAAAAAAAGAATGCACGCTTTATATCTTTAGACTGTGACTATATCTCATTACAGACTGATTCATGGACTAAAGGAAGGAAGATAAGGGACCTTCATTACGATACCAGCATGCCAGCTTTCCCATGTGATCAACCAGAGGACGCGGCTCACAGCCAAAGGAGAGACCTCAAAGACATTGAGAACTCTCTCATCCAACTGACAACAAGTCTGGACTTGATGCAGGTTAAATTCATTGTAAAGATGTTTCTGTTTTGTTTATTATTGTGTCTTGTTGAACTATTACCTCATGATTGCTTAATGCATCTCCTGTGCCAGGAGGAACCAGAAAGACCTCTTCAGAACACGTCAGATGGTGTAGATTTAGGATTGGAAATGTTTAGAACAAGACAAAGCCCGCCGGACCACGTTGACAAATCGTAAGATTTCCTGGCACTATATGGAGCGTAGAGAATTATTGCACTTTTGTTAGTGATACAAACTAACAGTTAGTTCCTCTACAGGTGGCTGAAGTTGAGGTCACTCCTTAGGGACTATCATCAAGATCTCATGTTGGCACTAGACGTTTCATCGTTTTACCAACAGGCTGACAGCATCATCGGCAGCATTAATTGGAAGGTTGAGAAAACAAGAGTTGATTCGTTTTGGCATTTAGAAAATACCTCAAACTGCCTTTATAAATAATACAAGTACTGATCCAGAATGAATCTCGTTGCAGAGGAACCTTGTATTGGCGGGCGAGATCCAAAAAAGCGACAAAGAGAAGAGAGAAATTGCCTGTCAGATCAACGTAAGTCTATCCATGATCTCATTAGAGGAAATAATGTCTTCTTGTGTAAACCTGAATTTGAGAACATGAAAACATATGAACCTGACACAGTCACTTTGCTTTTTTTATGTATGATTTCTCACTATACCAAATACTAGTCCGTTATATTAGTCTCACGCACAAGTTTTTTCTCTGAACTGTAGCATATGAACTCCATATGAATGATGTCATTTCCTTCCACGACCCCACCCCTCTCTGGACAACTCTCTTTCCAGATGCTGAATGAGTCTGCGTCTCGCCTGTCAACTCTCCACCCAACCCTGGCCAGAAGAGTTACATGCAAACAGGCCGAGGTGAAGGAGAACTGGGCACTTCTCCAGGAGTTTCTCCGGTAACGAGAGTCTCCATACTGCCATTGTCCTCCTGTGAACAAAAAACAATAGTAAATAAAGTACTTGAGAGCAGTGAGGTCATATTTAAGGCTTAGAATAGTACATGACATTGTGCTAAAATGGAATCCATAATTGTCAACAAGGCGTTGAGCTGACATGTGGTTTAGTGATGTAATGTTATGGTCTTTTATTTCAATATTGACATATTGCAGAGTCTTGGATCATGAATGGTAGATGTTGTTTTGATGCAATTGCTATGTATTCAGTTTCAAACTTAATTACATGTTGGTCCTCCTGAGTTTAAGCCTTTGGCAGTTTATGCAATCTTTTTAATGTGTGATTCTGTTATAAGTATCCAGCAGGACAAATATCACTTAGAGCTTACAAAAATATTATTTTGCTTACTAAACGATTTTTAGATCATTTTATTAAACCATGCATGACTGGTTTAAAACGTTGCCAATAGGAAGCTGTAATTAGTGGCTGAGCTAACGTCACCCTTCTAATTTACAAAATATCACATTGGATCATGGCTGTTCTCACAGAACAGTCAACAGCTTTAGACACAGAATTCCACAAATACTCACACCATTATGGAAACTCAGTCAGATTGGACGGAGTGTGACCTCTGTGACCTCAATACTATGACTTCAGAAAGGGTTAGAGAGGAGATACAGAGGAACTGAATGACAGACAGGAAGAGAAAGAAAAGGTGGTTGTAGATGAACAAAGGCAATAATAGCAGAAGATTTAGTCTCAGTACTGGTGCAGATGTGAGGAATAGCTCATATGTATGGTATGAAGATATGATGAGAGACAGGTACTCTGTTAAAACGCATCTGGAGGAATGTGCCCGTGCACTGAGGAAGGAACTGATAAAAAAAATAACTGTCTGAATATTTTTCATAAATCTCACTATTAAAGCAGATAAACACAAAGTTTAAAACAACTAAGCAGAATAAAAATAACCTGTACATATGAAATCAAAATTAGAGTTTTGTGGATTTTAGTTTGCGTCTGTAAGGCTTTTGAAAATTCACTTTTAGCAGATACACATTTATAAAATGTTATTACCGGTAAACACAATTTTATTACATTTATCTTAAAAGACTTTCTATTCTAGGAAATGGAACAAAAATATTGATTGATTATTCTAAATTTACACCAACTGAAAACACACGTACACAAAAATCACATATATGGTACTTCCCGTGGCCTGAGAAACTAGTCATTTGAAATTTTAAAATACAAAATTCTGTCATGAAACTCTAGATGGCGCAGGCTGATATGTCCTTAACACATCTGCTTGCTGTCACATCGTTCTCTATAGGGCACAGCTGATTGGTTCCTGCTGTATCAGCAGCCAATGAGCTTGCTGCTCAACTTTCAAATACCTGGTCAGCGTCTGCATAGCAGTTTGCAGCACTGCTGCAGAAACCCTCCACCTTCCCCAGCTCCACCTGTCTAGATCTGCTAAGGGTAATTCATGTATGGTATATTGTACAGCAGCAGCATGTCTTACTTGCTCACAGCAGTGTGTCGTCTATTGGCAGTAGCAAGTCCTGTACATATTAACATTGTCATCCATTACCATGTCAAACACTCTGATAGTTGTCATGACAGAAATATATATGCGAAAATCAATAACTTTGGAAAAATGAGGAAATAAGTGAGGAATGGACCTTAGTCAGGTTAGATGCCATATTGCATTAATGAAAATGAAAATGAGGTTGTGATGGATAGACGTACAGTCTTTACAATGTATAAAGGTCCGACCTAGATGATGTAATTTTCACAACTCACAACTTTTAAAACTGTTTTTGGCTACTGAAAGTTTTCTTTCAGAAAAATGTTTCGACAGCAACAAAGGCACAATCCATTGACCACACTGTATTCTATCCCTCACATTGTCATTCCTGTCCAAAAAACGTCAACATTGCCATGTTGATTGCACTAATTACTGTATGGTGCTATACACCAATTGTTAGTTATTCGCCATTAAATGAATTCGCTATTTTTTTTAAATGTAGCAAACATGCCATGTTGGCTTTGTCGACAGAGATGGTTACATTCCTTTTTGGCTCTTTCAACAAGTCCTCTATCACTAGCTCTGCAAACACACCTTTCCTGAAACTATGAGCTAACCAGACAAGAAGGAGGTGACATCATTGCTTGCATATCCTGCCAACAGTAATATCTACCCAAACCAAAACAATTGCTGCAAAATTTCGTCCAGGATTAGCCTACATAAGCAGCAGAGATATGATGTTAGTGATCTGTGGATATTTTTATATTCTCAATCTGCAAGTTGTTAGCATTAAAGATTTACAGTCTACTGACTTGTATGGTCTGAAATGATGATGAAATATCATATGTTTGAAATGTTTGAAGAGTAATGATGCCTCGGTGGTGCCATTAGAGGTAATGTTTTGTTCCACTTCTACAGGAACCAGAAGACAGATGTGTCTTCAAAACGTCCTTCAACTTTACCCGTTGATCCTCCGACCACATGCCCTGACTCACAGAGCTTTGCTAGAAATGAGGGTCACAGCATAATGGGAAAAGACGTCAAAGAGGAGCAAAACCGTCTCAGAGGATTTGAGGTTAGTTGCACTGCCTCCAAAAACATATGTTAGCGTGATAAATGACCAGTCGTGACCACATAGAAAAGTAGATTGCTCTGAAATTTCTGTTCGGTGAGACAATCATTTACAATGAGGCTTTAAACTTGTCTCATTTGACCAACAACCTTCTATCAAGACAATGATATTACTTTAGTTTTAAGTTGCAAAGATAGAGTTCAAATCATGCTTGAGAATGTAAATGACCTTCAGCAAAACCACAACTGAATCCTCAAATCCAATCATGTTGGCTTATGGGTACTCATGTGATTTATAGAGGCCCGTTTCTGCCTCAGATTAAACAAAAATAATAATAAAAGTAATGTAGTAGTAGTAAAATCTTTTTTTGTCCCTTTACAGGGCAATTTAAGTAGCTTCAACCTCACAAACATCCACATTTTTATAAAACAGAAAACAGCAAAACATCACAAAACCTTACGACAAAAAAAAAAAAAAAAAAAAAAAAAAACGCCAAACCCCGGGCATTTATAATAATTCTTCATATAGCTACTATTTAAAATTCACGGTACCTTTATCTTTGTTTCAAATAAGTATTTACACTCATAACTGCATTTGAAACAAAAGACCTAGAAGCTTTAACAGTCCTCCACTTGGGCACTCTATATCGCTTTCCTGAGGGAAGCAATTCAAATTCTAAAAACAAAATGTGGGATGTATCCTCTAGGATAGTCAAAGACTTCCTAAGAACATTTCTCTCACACAAAGCAGACAAACCCAACTGTACAGATCCTGTAATCTTTGACCCTAAATTAATAATGTGCTGAAGCTGGGATCTACTTTTAACATTTAATCCATAAAACCAACAGATCATAGCAAAGGTTAAAACACTTTCAATGAAAGATCTATAAAACATTATCAATATGGATTTATCCACTTCAAAGGACTTAAGCTTCCTCAGTAAATATAACCGTTTTTGTGCTTTCGATATAATAAGATTTGTGTTTTCCACCCACCTAAGTTTATCATCAATTAATGTACCCAAATACTTATATGAACTGACCTTCTCAACCTCTTTACCAGCAATAACTACTTTAGATGGAGTTCCGACAGAATTATAAAATTCTATAGTCATATCCTTAGTTTTGGATACGTTAATTTGTAAATGAGAACTCTCACACCAATCCAAAAAATAATTCAAAATGGGCCCATGCTCTGTGTCACCTTGCTTTAACAGACTCAGCACCACTGTATCATCGGCATATTTAATAATATGTCTGTCTGGATATTGACTTCTGCACCTATCTGTATATAAAATAAATAATAAAGGTGAAAGAATACAACCCTGGGGACAGCCCACTGAAGAATGCAGTTCCCTGGAATGTTCTCCATTCACCCGTACTATTTGAGATCTTCTGGTCAGAAAATCTAAAATCCAGGCCACCAAACACTTATAGGGACATTAAATTCAGAAAGCAAACGTTCAGCTAAAATAATTGGTTGAATAGTATTAAACGCTGAAGAAAAATCTATAAATAATAAACGAGCATGATGCTTACCGATATCCACATGTTTATAATATATATAATTTAAGAGTCTCAGAGTGGCATCCTCCACACTCCTATTTCTCCTATAGGCAAATTGTAACGGGTCAATCAGCTGACTAGTATGCTCTACGAGCCAAAATTGAACAATTCTCTCAAAACACTTCATTAATAATGATGTTAAAGAAATTGGTCTAAAATCATTCATTTGTTTGGCATTGGTCTTTTTAGGAATCGGTACAATAATAGATTTTTTCCACACTGAGGGTACTCTCTGTAAATTCAATGAGTTCTGAAAAATGAAATGACTAATATCACATAGCTGATAAGCACAGCTCTTCAAAACTCTCCCACTGACTTTATCAGGCCCAGGGCTTTTGTTGGGTAGTCTGTAAAACCCTCAAAACAGAAGCTTTATCAATTTGCAGATTTTCCGCTGTTTTCAAACCAGAATAAAAATCCCTACTCATTTTATTAAAATCGTGTGTATCGAATCGCCTAAAAAAATCATTAAATTCATCTGCTATCTCTCCCTTTTCTATCCTAGACTCAGTCAAACTAATTCCAGTTGATTCCTTATTTTTTGCACCAGCATTTACTTTTATTTCTTTCCATGCTGACTGAATATTTCCCTTAATAAACTTCTCCTCCATTGATTCCTTATATTTAATTTTGGCCCTCCTAATTTCTCGTTTTACTTCCTTATTAACCTGCCTCTTTTCCAAATCTGTTCCTTGGTAAAAAAAAAACCTTTCTTCTCATTTAACACATATTTCAATGATTTTGTCACCCAAGGCTTATTATTTGAGTAGATTCTTACATTTTTCCTAGGTATCACAGACTCTTCACAAAAGTGAATATGTGAACTCACAACATTAGCTAGGTCATCTTTGTCTACACAAGAAGTTTTAAAAATATCCCATTCAGTCCTATCAAAACAGTCTTGTAACTCTAAGATATTATCATCAGTCCATCTTTGAAAAGACGCAATGACTGGCCTTGTTCTCTGCAACACTGGTTTATAACATGGTTGCAAAGAAACTGCATTATGGTGATGCTACTGCGCTGCCAAACACTGTTGAAAGATGCACAGAAATGCTTAATCTCTCTCTCTCTCTCTGAGTTAATAACTCTGAATTAATAACTCAGTCTGTTCTCACGTAAATGCGTCTCTATAGCACGCATTGTGTATTATTGTGCAATTTATATGCGAAAATGAGTTTTTACGTGCATATGATACGCAGTTTTCGCGTCCATTTGATACGCAGTTCATTTGCGTGTAATACACACGCACCCCACACCACTAATTGTACCCAAACGTATAATACACACGCACCCCACACCATACTAAACCTACCCTAACCAACCCATGTGTATCCTATGCACGTAAAAACTCATTTTCGCGTATAAATTACACGATAAACACACTGCGTGCTATAGAGACGCATTTAGTGTGATCGGGTTGAATAACTACATTAGTCTGCTATCAATGGTTTAAGCCTCTGTTAGCTCTAAAATTATGTTTTGGAATTAGCAATGGAGTTGTGGGATGAGATTCGTAAGAAATTAGTCCTACACACAAGAGCCTTTTAAGGACAAAAACCTGACAATTGTCTTGAAAAACAACATAAACAATGTCTTGATGTGTAGTATAAGTGGAATAATTGACGTTGGGACGTTGAATTATTAGAAAATAATGCACACCCGAGGTGTAACAGCCATGACGTGCATTAACATCTCGTGTGTGCATTATTTTCTAGTAATTCAACGGCCCGACATCAATTAATATTAATATATTATATGCCTAAACATGTATTTCTGCAGTGCTCTCAAGGGCTGTGGGCCCATAGGATGTGGAGTCCAGTTGAGGAATGTTCTGTAGGGAGTCGAGGCTCAGTGTCGGAGAACAGCTGTTCCAAGCTGGACAATATCTCGGAAAAAGAGGACAGGAAGAGGTGCAATTAGTTTTTTATTTCACAATGAATATGTGGATGACTGATGAAGTAAATGATCTGCAATTGTGTGATGTCATTTCATACAATGGATTTCAAGATGCAGTTGTTGAGTAAAGTTTGATTAACAGTTAATGCTTTCCCAGCTGTATCGCCCAGATGGCTCAAACAACCCTTGTTTCCGCTCAAGATTGTTTCATACCCAATAAGCTGGTGAAAGAGTCGAAGACATCCACTGGGATGGTAATGCGATTTCAAGATTTTTTCATAACAATGCACTAAACTGATAAATGATCTCACTTATCTCTTTTCATCTCCTTTTGGAAATTGAATAAAGAATGAAGAGCATGACTGCTCAAAGCAAAGACAAGACCACAAAATAGAGGAGCTCCTAAGCCAGGTGGAGGTCCTTTGGGATGCCCTGCAGACGAAATATGGAGAGAACAAACAGACTGAACCAGTGGAAAAAACCCAAACTGGAGATAAAGCCGCACAGATGGTATCAGAATTCACACTCTCAAACCATCTCCTGGAAAATGTAGAAGGCGGCAGTTCAGGAATGCTTGAAAAGTTCCTTGAACTTCTGGATCCCACCGGATATCACAAAAAGAGCCAAGTAAACCAAACATCATATACAATATAAAACCTCTAGTTTTAAGTATTATTTTTTTATGTGGTAATTCTTCGAAAACATGAAGATAAAAAGAAAAATTTAGCATACTCTGTTTCAGACTCATAACATGATGTTTCTGTGTATGAAATGTGTAATGAATACAGGTCAGGAACACTTACACCATTGTGAATCTGCTTTAGGATGTTCCTGGACCACTGGATAGGCATGAAATGGCTGAGGATGCAGAAATGTCACTGGATCTACTGAGTCATCAAACTGATCAAGAAAGATCCCAGCAACAGGACCAGACCACTGATGAACTACAAAGCTCGGTAAAATATGAGCTTGTTTCACAAAGCGATGTCCAACATCAACCTGATTTTAGAGATATACATATAAATAAATGGCATGCACAATATTTCACCAATTTGTATAGCACTGCTAATAATCTTTTTTAAAACATCTTTTAGCTATCTCAAAAAAGTTTTTGGAAATTTAAGGCACATGTAAAATTGATCAATTATTAATTATGTTCAAATTATTATATAGTAACTATATTTTATAGTAACTATTAGAAGTTACTTTGGGAATATTTGGTTAAAATACTAATATATAATGTTGATAATAATATAATAATGGATAAGAAAAGTAAAGTTAATTCAGTGAAAATGTCTAGCATCATTAGTTTAAAGATGCCAATTGGTTGATATTTTATGAATTGCCATTATGACATTCTGACATTAAAAGGCAAAGTGTCCAGACACTTTTTGTGGCTATACTGCATGTTTTTTCATAGTCAATCACATGTCAGTTAAGAGCAGATTTATCTTTCCTCAGCTATCTAATCTAACACTGCGGATAAACCAGCACCTCTGTCGCTGTGCTGAGCTCAGTATGGACCTCCTGGACATAGAAGCAGATATGGCTGTGCTTTGTGACTCTGACCTCAGTGGTCTGGAAGGGCTACAGGAGCAGCAGGATGACCTAGAGGTCAGATAATAAATAAATACATTTACTAATGTATACTAGAAGTTAATCACTATTGAATGACTCCAGATCAGTAATTAAAGGGATAGTTCACCCAAAAATGAAATTTCTTGTTCCAAACCTGCGTGAGTTTCTTTGTTCTGCTGAAAAAGCAGATATTGTGAAGAATGTTGGTAACCAGATAGTGGACGGTAGCCATCAAAGGAGAACTCCGGCGCAAAATGAACCTCGGGTGTAATAACACATTGGTACAGACTAAATCGTTCCCTGAGATTTGTTTTCATGATAATCGAATATAAAGAGTTTTATCTCTAAAAACAGTTTAGCTTATAACGCTAGTATATTGGGCATCGAGTAAGCAAAAAGAGATCGCTAGTTAATACCATTAACAAGGCTCAAATTAGCCCCACACTAACACGGCAGCATAATGAGTGTCCTTACATGCAAACCGAAGCATTGAGAACTTTGTAAGTGTATAGACAGTTTAATAAGAAGATACTTTACACAGACAGTACAGTTAGCGCATACAGACAGGAGCCATCTTGGAAAACAGTCTCGATCAGTCAAACCACGAAGGTGAGCGAACAGTACTTGTAGATATTGAAGATAAGATAAATTATATTTATTTTTTTATTTTCTCTGTTGCATTCAGTGCTTCTCTTATGCGCTCAGTGCTTTCTTCCGGAAACAACGGACCATATGAGATTCCAAGTCACAGTTCAGCTCACGTATCACCGTGTTCGTGGTTTGACTGATCAAGACTGTTTTCCAAGATGGCTCCTGTCTGTATGCGCTAACTGTACTGTCTGTGTAAAGTATCTACTTATTAAACTGTCTATACACTTACAAAGTTCTCAATGCTTCGGTTTGCATGTAAGGACACTCATTATGCTGCCGTGTTAGTGTGGGGCTAATTTGAGCCTTGTTAATGGTATTAACTAGCGATCTCTTTTTGCTTACTCGATGCCCAATATACTAGCGTTATAAGCTAAACTGTTTTTAGAGATAAAACTCTTTACATTCGATTATCATGAAAACAAATCTCAGGGAACGATTTAGTCTGTACCAATGTGTTATTACACCCGAGGTTCATTTTGCACCGGAGTTCTCCTTTAACTTAGTATTTTTTCCTACTATGGAAGTCAATGGCTATCGTCAACTGTACCAACATCCATCAAAATATCTTCTTCCTGCAGTAGTTAAAGATGGGCCCAGCTTTTTAAGTATTAAAAGGTTGCTAAGATTAAACAGTATTGAATTAATTATAGGTTACATATAAGTGATTTGTTGGTTTGAATTTTTCCCACTGCACCCTGAAATGGATTGAATGAGCTTTAAGTCATAAATGTCACACTTTTAATCAGGTTGTCATTCTAATTAATACAATTTTTGTCTCACAAAGGCTCATTATAATATCATTGAGTCAGAGGTGAGAGAGATGGAGAGACTAGCCAGACAGCTACAGGTTCCTTCCCCAGAGGAGAGAGACCCTCTCAGGGAAGAAGTTCAGGCGATCCTGCAGGCTTGGGAGGAAGTAGGCCGCAACATGACTGAGAACAGAGGCCGCCTGGAGAAGTTTCAACAGATTCAGGACTACTTTGAAAACTATCTTGCCATGATGTAAGAGAGAACGTCTGACTAATTTTGATAATTATACATTGTGAATATTTCATGTTTAATGTCAACAACTTAAGAAGGAAATACTTTCCCATATGTGGTATTGTTATATTATATTAGTTTAGCACGGCCTCTCTTTTTGTGTCCTTTAGTACGTGGACAGAGAACACCAGATCCTGTATCCTTGCTGGCAGTTCTGCTTGCAGAGAGAGTGAAATTGCAGAGATTGATCACTGCATTGAAACAAAGCTGGATGAGTTTAGGAAACTGGCTGCAGCTGGTCAAATGCTTATGCAAGATGAGAGTCAGTTTAAAGACATTGTGAGTGTGTGATTGATTTACTCAATGTTACCACCACATGGTCATCTAAAAGCAATGTCAACTGTCTTGCGGCGTCCATCTGCAGAATGTTCGCTATGATGTTTTCTTGATTAACATCTTCCTGTCTCTAGATCAAGGAGAGAACAGATGAGTTGCAAAGCATGCTGGGATGGATCCAGGTGAACTGGCACGCTCAAAAAGAGCAGCTTAAAAGAAACAAGGATGGGAGATCAGAGTCAACAAATTATTCTGCTCAACAGCAGGTTTCTAGATTTTTTTCCCGACATCTTTTACAAATGATGTAATTTAAAACATGTAAGGGATAATATACAGTCATGTGATCATTTTGGCAAAATGAACCCCAATCAGGATCTTGTATCACCCTGAAGGGGTATATTTTGCAATAATGGGCATGTCTTCACATTATCCTGCTTAATACCGAATGTTTATTAAATAAACAAAAAAAAGCTTGAATTACGTTATTATTTGAGAGGAAAAAGTGATACAAGAGATATAAAACACAACTATGTTGAAATCCTTTACTTAGGACAACATTCTCTTAAATAGTTTAGTTATTATTTTAAAAAATCACAGCAAAATTCTGCGACTGACATATCAGAATCATGCATGTTAGATAACAATAAATAATGCAGTGTGCGTTAATCCCTCATTCATAAATGATTTATCTTATTTTAAATAAATACTATTTTATTTTTTAAATAAAAAAATAAATACACTATAATTCAATTGATTAATAATACAATTAAAATGCTATTATTTTTGTACTTTTTTTTTTCTTGTTTAGGCTATGTCTTTCAAAAATCCTTCTGATAGTCTGTGCAGTACAAATGGAGAGGTCAAAGGAGGTGCTACTGAAACACAGTCATCTCAAAACAACTTCGAGCAAAAGAGTGGGAGACATGATGTGTCCAGTGTTGTCAGTCAGGAGTCCTGCCTTTCAAAGACTTCGCTAGGCTCTAGCATCTGTCTCATTTTGACCTTTGATGAACAGTCTTCAGGCATCAACCAAGTGACAAAGCAATGGTCACCCAACAATAATGACATACATGAAGAGTCAACAAGCAGCATTCAGGCGGACAGACATCAATCACAAGACAAAAACTCAATGCAAATGCAGCAGCCACAAGAAATGCTTCTGGTGAAATGGCCGAATGAATCAGCCATAAGTAAAGAGACCCAACAAAAATCATCTTTTTGGAATCTTGGACAATTGCAAAACAAAAACCATGGAGAACCCGTCCAGTCACTAAGCAAACAGGAAGTATCCAGCCTTTTGTCCCCATGTAACACTGAATCATCTTTTTGCAACCACCTAACAGAGAATCTGCAGTCCATCAACAAGCGATCTAATCTGCGATTATCACCAGACACTGATCAGGTGCATCAAGCGCAAACCCCTCAGTCACCAAACTACAAACAAGACTTGATGCGAAATGCAACACACAACAATCTAGAAACAAACCAAAACCAAAGCGACGACCACCTGCGGCATGAAGGGGCAGCTGAAGTCACTCATAGAGTAAGTAAGACTTCACAAACTGCGTAAACTTCAGACACATTCCAAACTGAGCTCAAAGCTCGCACACAAACCAGACATGCATGTGCTTATTATTCTCCCGGCTCTGTACATCCTGTCCCATGTGGTAAAACAATGACCTCATGATTAAGTTTCCATGGCATGGCTTTGAAAAGCCTCCTAGTGGTGTGTATTGTACTAATGCGCTGTGAAGCCGCCATATAGGATTTATTAACTTGGCATGCAATGATATTAGTCATGCATCAGCTATTGCCATCACAGCTGTGTGTGTATGCATTCAAGAGCCATATCATTTTCAGATAACAGAACGCTTGTGGACCATTACAACTGACCGTGGGTTTGTTTTTATGAGATTGTAAGTTGCATCTCAGCTTATTCAAAGTTTTGCATTCATCTTTCTATGGCAGGTGTTCACGTATTTACACGTCTCGGATAGTTACAGATCTGCAGGACGAGTCTTGGAGGTCCTATCCCCACCACATGCTGAAGGGCAGGACATGACAACCTCTGAGTCGGGTTCCTCCTCAGTTCAATCGCCCTCCCCCTTCTCGCAAAATGTCACAGCTGAAGGAGGAATGGTTTACAATCGCAACAGATTCAAGGCAAGTTCTTTGTTCAAGATTAAAGAGCCGTTCAAAAGTAAGGAGGATGAGCAGAGAAGAAACTCTACGCTTGGCAATGTAAGATTGGAAAGGCCTGGCAAATCTTTAAGCTTTTTCAGGCGGAGGTGTAACACTTGGCCAGAAGGAGAACGGAAAGCGAAAGAAAGTCATTCAAACTCCAATCTTCAGGTTTTCATTAAAAAAAACATGTTACCGGTGGATTCTGTCATTGATAACAAATCCAACCCTTTTCCAGAAGACAGTTTGCCCAATTCTGTCAAGAGTTCAAGTGGAGCAGTTAAAAACATCTGCTCTTATTTGTCTCTAGGATCCACTCTTAGCTTCAGTCTTCCCAAGAGCTTTCACAACAGTGTCTCGGACATGGAAAACAAAGAGGAGATTGAACCTGTACAGATTAATGATGACTCAAACAACCAAACATTACCATCAACTCAAACTCCACAATTAGAACTAGAGGTGGAACCAGTGATTCATATGAGACTAACTGAAATAAACCCGGTAGATATGGAAGATTCTGAAGATACAGAAGAACCTGGGGTCAAGACCCAACAATTGAACCAAGTTTATGAAAGCACAGAACCTGCCTTGAGGGTTTTCACATTAGTTGAATATGAAGGACCTGATAATGATTCCTCGAGCTGTCACAAAGCCTCTCCTCCAGTGGTCAATGGTTCCCCATCAGTCAGTCAATGCAGCCCTCTATGTCCTTCTTCATCCTGTGGTCACAATTGCTTTAGTGTTCATACCAAAATAAAAGACCTGAATGATCACTTATACAACATGTCCAAAGATGTGAAGATAAACGCCTCAGAAAACTTGTTCCCTAATGGCCAGGGCTACCGTAAGAGAGGACGTATCATAAACTGTGGTGTGAGAGACTGTGCAGTGTGTTTCAGTGATACAGTGAAAGAGACCAGAGTAGACTGTGCAGAGAAAGCAGACATCAGCACGGAGGAGCTTCTTCAGCCTGGGCACTGGCTGTTTCAGCAGGAGGAAGAGGAACTGGAAGATATCTGGAGAGGAAGAGTGGGTAATCTCACTTCAAACTGTGCTGTGGAAAAAAATACAGATGAAGAAACAGGTAGGAGAGGATTCTTACAATAAAGGTTAATGACTGATATTGAATTTGTCATATTTTGTTTTTTTTTCTTGTTATTTTTAAACTGCAATTTGCACCAATATAATGCCTATATAGGCTACACTATAGTTCAAACATTTTTAAAGAAATTAATACTTTTATTTAGCAACGACATAAATTGACCAAAATGACATTTACAGTGTTACAAAATATTAAATGTATAAATGTATAAATATTCAAATGTATCAGTTTTCTCTAAAATACAAGCAGCACAACTGTTTTCAACATCAATAATAATAATAGATGTTTCTTGAGCACCAATTCAACATGATTTCTGAAGGATCATGTGACACTGACTGAAGACTGGAGTAATGGCTGCTGAAAATTCAGGTTTGCGTCCAATCGTCCAATTAATTGGTCATCAGTGAAAATTATTTGATAGAATATTAGACAATAGAGTAGTGCCGTTCTTTGGTGACACTGACATGTCGTCATATGGTTAACTCGTGTCATATTCATATTAGTGGCCAGACTATGTGACCTGCCAAAGTGTGATGTGATTAGCAAATAGCTCCATCTGTTGGGCATGTGCACAGTTCATATGATTCTTCAATTCTCCATTGAGCAACGTTTTATGTTTTACTTTTAATTGAGCAATTGTTATGAATGATAACACATCTAATATAATGCGAATGTTGCATTGGAGAAGAACAGGCTATGCATAACGAGCTACAGGAATTGTATACATTTTATTGGTGGAACACCTGCAATTCTGGACGAAGAAAATGAAAAAAAAAAAACCAGTGTCTGTAATTGATTTAGATATTTTTATGCTCCAGTTATTAATCATGAAATGATATGGCCTTTATTACACTGACAAATACTCCAGGCTGCAATAATGACAATATCTCATGGGGATAACATGGAAATTGATCGCCATGTTTGACAGCTGTGTTGGGCCCTAAACACAGCTTTCAAAATTAGGCCAGTATTTCCCTTTAGACTTAAAATTTGCTTAAAATTGAGAACATGAATGAGTATATGATATGACATGCAGATTTATAATGAAAAACAAATGAACAATTACATTTCCTCTTTTAATGGCAGGTTAATTGCTTTTTTTTTTTTATTGCAGGGCTATCAATCAAAACCAGCAGGGGACAGGTAGCACACCCACTCCATGGATGAGATGGTTATTTTGCCCGTGTAACCCCGTCCCATCATTGGCAAGATGGGTTATTTCATGGATGGGATCGTTTTGAACATCTCATCATTTATCTGCTGTGCATTTACTATGCTGTACATGTATTATTGTACTTCAGTTGTATTCTTCTCTATATCAACATGGTAAATTTAATGCAAAACTGTCATTCTGAAGGTTGATCCGAGACCCACTGTATAGACTACAGTGCAGACACACAATAGAAGTTTGAAATTACCATTGCCCAACTCCAGATGGAGCCCTTGTCCTGCCTACAGCGGAAGGTTTAACCCATGTACAATAAAAAGGCACCTCTGTACACACCCATTTCGAGCTAACAACAGAATCATCAGACCCAGAGACATCATGCTGCTGATTCGGAAATAATAACAAGACTGTCATGAGAAAAAACTTGTATGGCACTCCCCTTTATAACCAGACTCCATTGTAATAAGCTGTACATCTCAGAAAACAGTTTGTAAATCACTATAATGGAGCATATATGCCATTGAAGGGATTATTAATGTGTTTGTGTGGCCATAAAGTGCTGTTTTGTTATTCTTACACTTACATCGTTCACTATTTTGCACAAAATAAAACTGAAAGCACACGAGTGTCAGTGTGACTTGTGTGCTGATTGCTTCAAGGCAGTGTAAAGAAAACATGTAATACATAGGTCACTGTAAAAGCCCTTTACAGTCCTGGAAACACAACCCTTGTCAAGCTACATGTATAAGATGACACACATATCACAGGGTAGCTCCCATCAGATCTAAAAATAACTTGACATTTTACTAGAGCATGTAAGATTATTCATACCAATAATATGAGGCTTACATGATAAAAATTCAATTTATGACAAATTAACCCACTCTTGAATGCATTAGCCTACAAAAGCTAATGTTTGTTTCAGTTAAATTTTGAAAAATTTGAGAGTATCTTTTTAGGTATGCTGACAATTAAACTGAAGGAAATTCGTCATAGACAGGTTTTTGTATATTGTGAAATTGAGTTACTCAATCTATTGATGTCATAGAAAAGAAAATGTAACAATTTCATTATACGAAACACCAGGCTTTACACTAATTGTTACATGACTTTTTCTTTCTTTTTTTTTAAATGTACTTCACTGGCTATTTACTTTAACTTAGATGTCAAGTAAATACTGTAGTATTTAATAATGAAGAGCACAACATTCATTCTGCCCATATCCACTGTGTTCACATCCATTCCACTGTTGCAAAATGTTGCTTCAAGGCAAAAAATAAAACACATTTAAGCAAATCCTCATTCAAATTATTTATAACACTAAAGCTGAAGGGGAAAAATGTCTCCCCACACAACAGAAAAGTTTTTAAAATGACCACCAGGATGTAGTGTGACCAAGTCAAAGCACTTTACTTGTTTATTCAACGTCATCCCCTACTATTAATTGACATCTAGACTAGAATGCACAATGTGCTTGTAAATATAGGCTATGGGTTTGTTACCCTGAGGCAATTTCATGGATTAAATGATTGTTTTGCTTAAAACGCATACATTAAAATGTAATTTAAAAAGTGGACGTTTATAGAGCTTTATTTATCATCCCTAAAAAACATTATTTAATAGGCTTATTTACATGGTAGATATAATTTACTCAACATGAGACTAAATAAATGAGTTCCAAACAGCCCCTTTAAAGTCAAAGGGCGAGATTGACAGGCCAGGTAGCAAATTATAATCCTCTGTCAAAGGAGGAGGAGTTGTGCGTACGCCACGGCGAATCAGCGCGTAGAAGAGGCGGGCTTTGTGCCGGTGGGGCTGTCAGTCAGCCGCTCGCTGTGTCCTGAGATCTGTTGAGTTGTTGCGCTTCTATTGTGGAAGGCGCGTCTCTTTGGGAAATAACGCGTGTATTGACACAAGGAATCATTCGTTGTATAATTTTCCACGTACAATGGGATTGTCGTCTCGTCCTTGGCGAGGTAAGATGACTAACTGTCTCTTGTATTTGAACTTGTTCCGAAAGAAACTTTTTCTTATAGGTGAACTCCACGGAGTGTTTTGTCCATCCATCCGGCTCCACAGCGCGCGTGTGTTTTTGGTTTTAAACAATAGATGCTTTTAGGAAAGCAGCGGGAAATATTTTGCTTTGTTTTAGATACAAGGACAATTCATTTGGGTTTATGTGCCGTTGCTGATGCCTGCGGGCAGTTTCGTAGCATTATTCAGTGTTTGGGATAGCCTATAGCGGGAATAATAACAAAACATCCTACAATACCTTGACAACACATTTGTTTCCACTCCAGCTGTTATATCTGCAATTTGCGTAAAAAAGTTTAATATTTATTCGCTTTGTCGTTGTCTTTTCACTTTAAAACTTGTTAGGCTATATCGTTAAGTTCACCCAAAATTTAAATTGTCATCATTTACTCAATTAATTTCCTTTCGAACCCTTTTGACATTCTTCCGTGAAACATAAAAGTATCCACACGAGTCGTTATATAGCCTAGGCTATATTCCAAGTCGTGTGACGCCATGTGATAGCTTTGTGTAAGGAACAGGGAACAGGCCGAAATTTAAGTCGCTATCCACTCTCCATTCACTTCAGTTAAACGCTGCTACGGAATTGTTCTGAATCTGATTTGTCTGATTCGTGAACAAATCATTCCGCGCTTCCCTACTATAAAGTAAGCAGAAAGCTGTATGTCAAATCAGTAGGATGGCAGAATACTCAGTTTCATGAAACATTAAGCGAACTGTCTTTGGTTCAATGTGTGGAACCAGCTATCACTTTGTTATCCCATAAGACGAGCCTTCAGATTCAAAAAGTAAAAAAAATAAAATAATAATAATAATTCCAACATGAGGAATGTTAGTATGGGATTTGATTTCTAGCCTATTGAGCAATTGCTCACCATTGAGATTACTTGCAATTTCTGCAATCTGCAAATTAAAAAAAAATAAACCGATTTAAACGAATCGGTCATTCACAAATTGGGTATGGCTTCACCCACAAACTCGCCAAGAAGTGCTAGGGCAGATGTCCCAAATCTTCAGTGAATAATGACTTTTCGAATAATGATTTAGTTTTGTGCTTGCACAAAGGTATCGTAGGGCTTCTAACGGCTTGGAAAATAGCTCCCAACTAATGCAGACTATTTTATGTTAATTTTATGGTGATTTTGTGCTCTTTATAAAGGCTGTCATTGATTGTCATTATGGAAAAGACATTCTTCAAAATGTCTCCTTTTGCTCCCCATAGAAGAAAGTAAGTTGAGTTTGGAATGAGATGATGAGGCTTGATCTTTTTTGTGAGAACTATTGTTTCAAAGCCTCACAGTCTCAAAGATATTTTACAATTTTTGCAAAATGTCTACAACTGATCATATACATTTTCATTTTGAAACAAATGAGTTTTGTGTTTGTCAATAGGAAATCAGTCTGTACCATTTTGATTATCTTCAATCCAATAGCGTTAATGCTCATTCTGTCACTGGTCTTCATCCTATAAGAGAGATCATCCGAGAGTACTCATTATTCAATGGTGTTGAAAGCCCTGCAACGGTCTGAAATGGATTAGTCTCGCTTAATTTGTAACGCTTTAAAGAGAAATAGTTTTTTTTGTTGTTCCTTCAGCAGTAACCTTGGCAGCCAGCTGTTGCTCCGAACATCTTGGCAGTCTACCCAGTAAATCTGCGGTTTGATTCTCTCTCCTGGGTTTGGAGTTTTTGATGCCCAAATTGGAGGGGTTTGTGTGCTTTGCAGGCTGAAACCCTTTGTAGTTCCGCTGTCTTTGTTTTAGGTGCATCCATTATTCAAATTCAGGCAAATACTTTGTTCTCATCTGTTAGAAACTGAGTGGCATGTAAATGAAATGTCTTCATCAAATGGAGACTACAGATATCCGCCCAAATGTCTTGTTGCATGTCAAATGAGGTGCAGATGGCTGTGAATGCTCATCTCATGAGCTGCCATATCTTTTATTGTTAAATTAATTATCAAAACTCCAATGTAATTATGTTCAGCCTAGCTAATTTTAGTCAGAAACACTTCTCTTGAGAGCAGGGCTTGGAGCCAACCAAGAAACACATCTGTGTCCTGTTGGTTTCAGCTATAAGAATGTTGTGCTGTTTCTGTGAAATGTTCATATTCTCACTTAAATGGTGATATACTGCTGAATGAATAGTCATGCTGCTTTGTGTGGTTATTTGAAACCCCCTCAGGGCGGATTAGAAGTCAAACACCCGAATGTCTGACAGCAGGGAACCCGTCAAAAACACTTTCTGCGTGCTCAGAGAGTTCAAATCAATGGTCTTTGTGTCGCTACCCCTGACAGAAAACAGGCCTGAGGGCGATTTGTTTGTGTTAGCGGATTAATTTCCCCTCTCTCGGTGTCATGGCGGGCACCTGTCAGCACTGAGGGACTCGTCATGTGAACCCTGTGGGACTTTTCGGCTTTCTCAACATAGTGTGGTCAGGCTAATTAAGTGTGCAGTCTTTTCTTCAACTCTCTGGTCTCGTCCCTCGGGTCTTTGACCAACCTCAAGATCTTAGAGAAGGATCAGCAGATGTTTTTCAAATGGTTTTGTGCAATTCGATTTAGGGAAATTATAGCTATTAGATGCAGCTAAGTTTGAGCTAGGCCTTGATTGACTGTTGATTGAGTTATCTAATTCTTGTGAGACCCCTTTGACCCTAGCAAGCAAATCAGAAGACTCCTCCCCCTTTTCATTGTTCATAGGCGACTGTCCAGTGTGGGTGGTTGTGTATGTTTGTGTGTCTGGCTCCATGGGAAGACTCCTCAGTATTAGTTGTTTCCTCCGTGCATTTCTGGTTCCCTAGGGATGGTAAACAATCAGCGCACATTTGAGCGCCCAGATCCTGCACGGTGGGGCAGATTATGTGCATAGTTTGCATAATTCACAGATAATGGAAAGGAAATAAGTACGGATGTGTTTCAAGTTTACTAAATCAAGGTCAGGAGTTGAGAACACCTCAGGGAACAAGATCCAAATGGCTAAATTCGAAGACTAAACAGCCCCTGCCCTAAGTGTGACCTCTTTCTCAAAGAGTTTGTCTTTTGCCTCTCTCAGAAAGGAAGTATTTTATTATCTCGAGACTCAGATCGGATGCTCTAGTTCCTAATCTGTTTGCCTGTCTGTAAACTCCCAAAATAGTGACTCATATCTATGGAAGACCCTGTTTGTTCATTGATTGTTTTTGTAAAATTATGTTCTCCGAAGGATAAAAATTATTGGGTACATCAGCTGAAGACCATGAAAAGCATTTGAAATGTCGGCTGGCAGTGAAATCTGTTCTCTTGAAGTGTCATCTCAGAAGATGATTACAAAGGATACATTGTTAATTTGCTGGTAGTTTTTTTTTTTTTTTTTTACCGATGGATAGCATCGGGAGAATGCATGGACACAGACAGGGATTAGCTATGGCCATCTGTTGCCCGAGGAATCAATAGCCAGACCTTTCTCAGCTTCCCTGCATGGGTACAGGAAAGGATCACTGCACCACTCCATCAACGGTACTTCAGTTTGGCCGAAAGTGACCTTGGATACTCCATTTTTAATGTGCACCTTTGTGAGCAAGAGAGTGACGTCTTAAATGGGACCACCAACT